AGAGAGGCAAGGAGGTAAAACTAATTCTTTCTCTTGTACTCCGAGGCTTCAGAATTTGTTGTCAGTACAGCCAAGAATACCATCATCACTTTAGGTAAAATGATTCCTCAGAGACACCTTGTCTTCCCAATTGCTTTTGGACTCTTGCTTCATGACAAAAATCATAAGCACGGGACACAACCAGGAGCCCGTAGGACTGAGATGAATCTCTGCCAATAGGGAGACCGTAAGCAAGGGATGCTGGGGGCCATTGTTTTCTCATATTACGTGTAATGAGCTACATGATGTTGGTCTAAACTGTGATCAAAATGAAGGGCTAGTTCAGTGTGATAAAGTCCTGACAACACCACTTGTGACAAATGGTGAAAATTAAGTTTAACGCTCAGAAGAGGACCGAAGCACCAGGTTGGGACAAATAAAGAACGGTAGAAGCCGCCCCTCCACTTGATGGTCATACGAGCCTTTCTCATCAGCCACCAAGAATTTACGAAGCAGCCAACTTTCCCGGTGGTGGGGGCGACAGACTGAAGGGCACCAAGGACAAGTTTATGGCAGAAAAATGGCGTTGGATCTTTTATTTTCCTTTCTCCCTGTCTCCCCTCCACCGCTCCGTAGTTTAGCTTAGCTCATTCTGGAGTCTAGCACAGAAAAGGCCTCGATTATCAAATGTAATATTCACGTAGGATCGTACCGTTCAGCCTCACGTTGGGGAGCACACAGGGCTTCACTGTTCCTTAATAAATTACCTCTTCGTGTAGCAATTAACCCCCTTCTGTGAAGGTTCAGTGTTTCCTTGGGCCCGTGCCAGTGCTAACAGCCATGGCTTAGCATTCTTTTTAATGGGCTGCAATTACTGCTGAGAGCAGGGAAACATAAAATATTAACACTTAAGCATCTTTTACACTTCTTTGAACGTTAGATTATGTTGAAAATATAACTGACTTTTCATTCTTAAACCTGATATTTGCTTAGAATTCCACAGGACCCATGAAAATGTTTCAGTAAGTGGTTTCTGTTGATTTATTGACTCCCATGAAAGCTTAATGGAAATCCCTTGCCACCAAATATTGAATATGTTTTAGGCATGCTTACAAAAGTCATGTTTACCAACTCAAGGGTTTTCCTGCATTTTATAGAAGATAGATGATTTGGAGCATAACTTGATGCGAGTCCATTTTCCTCCTTCTGTGTCATCTCTGGGGGAAGAAGTGGACGGAAGCTTCAAACCATCCAATTATTACGTGCAGGCAAAGTTAAATTGGTCTTCTTAAAATCTATTCACTATTATCTTTTTTTAAGTTACTTTGCCTTTTTTGGTATCATCTGTTGATGTGAAGATCCAATGAGATAAATGATGTGGAAGTGTTGGTAACCTGTACATCACTTATTAGCCTGTTTTCTATATGTGCAGAATGCAATATATGTGTATATATCCACTGCATATACTATGTGTACACTATACACATGTAGATTTATATTTTGCATACTATATATAATATGTAGCAAATATGTCATATACATATTGTGTTATGTATAATATATATACTAGACAGAATAGGGAATAAGTAATGTACACATATATATAACATTTATATATAAATTGTGTATGCGCACACAGTATCTATGTATATGCATATGTCTGTGTGTATGTCTATATGTAGTCATTTTGGTGCTTGCTTTATAAAACTGTGGCGTTATTAGAGCTATAACTAATTTCAAGAGGTTATATGGATCCGTTCCATGATTTCAGATGATTAAAAAGTCTAAATGTGTTAAGGTGGATCTGTTTTCTCCTTTGCTATCTCTCAAGAGGGCTGCCTTACAGACTTTTAATTATAGAAGTAATTTAGGCACTCTTAACTACAGAAGTGTTTTCCACTTCACCAAATAAATAATTTTAATAACTAGTCACATAAGTGCTCATAAACTAAATATATTTAATTCTCTAATATTCATTTCTTCTGTTTTACTTTTTAAAAAATCTTTGTGTTTCTCCAACAGAACTTGCAGCATTAAGTATGTGTAGATTGATTGATATTGAGTCTTATTCCAGTTCTTGTAAACATTATTTTTTGTGCTAATATTGCCTCTGAAGTATTGTCCAATGTTTAGTCAACCTGACAGCTATGGAAGTCTTCCTTATGAATTACTGAATTATTTTATCATTTAACATAAGTCCATTTCCTCTTACTCATCATTTAATACAATTGAAAGTATAAACAAAAATCATGTTGCCTTCTTCCCTTTATAAATATGAGATTCAAGTATTGCTTAATTCCAAATATATCTGTTGTTTTTCCTTGCTTGCAATTGTACCACTCCTTTAGAAGTTCCTCAGTGAAATGGAATGACTTTATCCCTCTGACACCAAGATGTGCAAACTATGGACAATAGTCCCAGTCCACCACTGCCCATTTTTGTAAATACAGTTTTGTTGGAAACAAATTCATTCATTCATGTCTGTGACTGCTTTTGAACTATGACAGCAGAGTTGAGAAATTGTGACAAACTGTGACCCACAAAGCTGAGCATAGTTACTATATCACCTTTGTAGGAAAAGCTTGCCAGCCCCGCACATTTAGCATCATTAATTATGCTGCTATGGAAACAAGCATTCACATATAGTGTTGCTAATTGTATTAATAAATGCATCCAATCATGGGATAGTTTCTATGTGCTTTTTAATATTCCATGTCAAACGTGTTTACATTTACTTGCTGTTTCCAAGACAACCCTCTCTAGACCTGGAATCTGCCAGTCTTTTCTTGAATTCAAAGTTCTTTTGTCTTTTCTTTGGGTTACAGAAATGTCAAAGTGTACACGATGGTTACAAACAGGGCTGGGAGTGTGTGTGGCTAATACGTCATGCTTCAAAACAAGATGTGTCACTTAGTGGCTGTTGTACCCAGAGAGGAATATATCACTGTGCGTGTGACACCTGAATCCCCTCTTCTTATTTCTTCATTTAATAAATGAGGGTAATAAGAATATCCATCTCGTTTGTTGAATGCGAAGATTAAATAAAAAATGTAATAATGTATTCACCGATAATGCTGGAGCACATGATGTCTGCCCTGTATGTAATTAGTGTTTTTTATGATGACCCAAGTAAATGTACAATAAAAGGTAGTAATTATAATAGTATACTAGTTGCTTCCACTCTTTGCTTTATATGTTACATACAGCCCTTAGTCTTGTTCAATAAGGCAGTGACTCTGACCATTTCTCTGACTCATAATAAAGCTTGGCAGTTCATTCTGAACCATAGTGATATGATGTGAGGCAAAGCAGAACTCCTCGTTTATTTGTTTCTTAATTAGCCTCCCTCATTGAGTCTCTCTGTCTCCAAGCACAATTAAAATGTTATGTGTTTCTTTTAACACTCCAAACTATTTTCTGTCCCCAAGCACCCTAGAATCTCAAGTTGATGAAACAATTAAGAAAGAGGAAAATCCCAGAGGTGCCCAAATGGGGATATCGAAACATCAGAGGTGATCAAAAATGGTCACACTCATGTTGTTACACAGGAAATCCAGTGCGCCAGTCAGTGGCGGACGATGCCACGCTGCTTAAACACTGTCAGGCAGATTCTGATTCATCCAGCAGTTTTTGGTGTTTTTACTTATACTGGGCATTTTTACCTCTTTTTAATTTTATTTTTTCATATTGAAGTATAGTTGGTTTACAATGTTGTGTTAATTCCTGGTGTACAGCACAGTGATTCAGTTATATACATATAAATATTCCTTTTTATATTCCTTTTCATTATAGGCTATTACAATATATTGAATATACTTCCCTGGGCTGTGCAGTAGGACTTTGCTGTTTATCTATTTTTATATAGAGTATCTGCAAATCTGGGACTCCCAATTTATCCCTCCACCACCCCTTCCCCTCTTGGTAACCTCAAGTTTATTTTCTATGCTTTTGTAAATAAGTTCATTTGTTTTATTTTTTTAGATTCCATATAAGTGATACCATATGGTATTTTTCTTTCTCTTTCTGGCTTGCTTCACTTAGAATGACGATCTCTAGGTTCATCCATGTTGCTGCAAATGGCATTGTTTTATTGTTTTTTATAGCTGAGTAGTATTTCATTGTATAAATATACCACAACTTCTTTATCCAGTCATCTGTCAATGGACACTTAGATTGCTTCCATGTCTTGGCTATTGTACATAGTGCTGCTATGAACATTGGGGTGTATGTATCTTTTCAAATTAGAGTTCCCTCTGGATATATGCCCAGGAGTGGGAATGCTGGATCATATGGTAAGTTTACTTTTAGTTTTTCAACGACTCTCCATACTCTTTTCCGTAATGGCTGCACCAAACTACATTCCCACCAGCAGTTTAGGAGCATTACCTCTTGCGCATACTTGCCATCCTAGTTGAAGTTTTACCATTAGAGAGCCATTTATTTGAAAATTCTCTTTCCACTCTCTACCAAATAGGCAAATAACTCCTTTCTGTTGCAAAACTTTTTCCCTAGGGAAAAATAATTTCTCCTTTCCCTGAAGTCTGCATTTTGCTTGCCACTATTTCATTGTTTGTGTCATACAGACCTTCTGGTTATTTGCATGTTAACCTGAATTGCTTCCTCATCTGCTCTCCATCCTTGTCAAGAGTATGGAGGTACCGACTGTGCACACTTAACTCTCTGTGTGCCTCAGACATGCACTCGCAAGCAGGTATTTCTCAGGACCGTTATCACTCTGAAAACTATGTTTTCCACAAGACTTTGCCTCTTAAAAATATGCTTCATGAGAATTCTATTACCAGTTAATAAAAGCTATAACATGTTGATCAAATAATCTTTTCTGCTGTGGACTGAATGCTCGTGTCCCCCTCCTAAAATGTTATGTTGAAACCTTAATCCCTGATATCTGAAGGAGGGGCTCTTGGAAGGTAATTAGGGTTACATTATGTTGTGGGGGCGGAGCCCTCATGATGGGATTAATGTCCTTATAAAAGAAGATAAGATCTTTCTCTTTCCACTAGGTGAGAATATAACAAGAAGACATCCATTTGCAAACCAGGAAGAGGACTGTCAGCAGGAACTGACTGTGCCAGCACCCTTGACCTTGGTCACCCCAGCCTCCAAAACTGTGAGAAATAAGTGTTTGTTGTTTAAGCCCACTACTCAGGTATTTTTGTTATAGCAGCTTGAAGTGATTAAGACTCTCCGTATTGGACATTTACTTCTGGCAGATACTGTTGGTTGGCTTAGTGCCCAGTCCCAATCCCCTTCTCCATTGCCTGCTTCCACAGAATTTGCTAAAAATATTACTTGCCTTTGCAGGCTCCTTTGCAGCTAGGTGTAGCCATGTGACGGATCTGGGCAGCAGAATGTAAGAGGAGTCTGCTTGGACTGCTGAGAAAGCTTCTGATTTTCCAACAAAAGCAATAGATGGTCCAGCTGATCCAGGCTTTCCCCTCCTTCCTGGCTTGAATATGGACCTAATGCTTGGAGCCCGAGGGCTATCACACTTCTAAGATGACGCTCCTCTGCATTAAAGGTGATGAATGGACAGAAAGAGCCTGGGTCCTTGATGACACTGCCGACTACTGAACCTACTTCTGCAGCCAGTTACCCCAGACTTCACGTTATGCCAGAAAATGAACCTCCCTCAATTTGTTTAGGTCATTTAACTGTATCTAACGCTACTAGGTGTAGTCCTACCTGTTCAATAGATGATGAAAAAATTAGTAAGATTCTTTTAAAATGCTATGTTAAAGATCTAATTAAAAATCATACTGTAACAGGCATATGCAGGATAGATA